TTAAAGATAAATATATGATAAATTATTATAAAAAAAATTAAAATTTTAAACTTATATATCTTACTATCTATTAATCTTAGAAATATGAAAATATAATCATTTAATAGATCTTAATAAGATAAATCCAACAGAATAAATTTTATTTTCTTATAATTATTAGATAATAAGTTATTTTGAAAATTTGAAAATTTGAAAAATTAAAAAATTAATATATATTAATAATTATTAATTTTAAAAATTTAAAAATACTATTATTAGATAGATTTTAAATGACAAATTTAATAAACTTTATTTTTCTTTTTATAATCACTAGACATTAAAATATTATAATTTTTCTACAATATTTTATAGATAATTTATATTACACTTTAAGGGATAATATTTATTTTATATTAAATATAAAAATATAAAATCTTATTAAAATAAAAACATATTTTTATTATCAACTTTTAGTTTTAAATTTATGATAAAAATAGATTTATTAAAATATTTTTAAGAAAGAATAATATTTTAAAAATCTAAAAATATTAACTTGTATAATTAGATATTTATTATTATTTGTTATTTAATAATTTTATAAATTTAATTAAACAAACAGAATTTTAGTAAAAAATTATATTCATAATAAATTGCATTTATTTTTATTTTAATAAAATATTTATTTAATAGTTTAATTAAAAATTTAAAATTAAAAAATATATATAAATTATTAAAATTTATTTTGAATTTTTAAATTAAATCTACTAGTAAAATAGAATTAAAAAGAAGAAATTAAAATATTTTTTTAGGTTTCTTAATTTATATTAATATTTATAAATAAGAAATTATAAAATTATAAAGGAAAATTATAAAATTTTTATAAATTATTTAAGCTAAATTTTTAATGAATTTTAATTAGTTTTATTAATTATTTCTTTTGAATTGATATAAAAATTAAATCTGAATCTTTTATAATACAACTAAAAAGTATTATATTAATATTATAAAGATTTAATAATTTTTATATATATTAATTTATATATTATAATTATTAAAATCTATATTATTAATATTTTATGAATTTAATAATTTTAACAAATATTTATATCTTTTTAATATATTTTTAATATTTGCTATTAAGAAATTTTTATTTTACAAATTAATTTTTATTTATTTAAGAATCTTCTTTATTTATATATTCTTTCAAATTATTTTATTATTTAATATTATTATTTTACAATACTAATAATTGAAAAATTAGTATTAACGTAAAATTAATAAAGATTTAACTTTAATTAATACTTGAAGAGAATTTTCAATAAATATTATTTTAAATAATAATGTATATTTAAAATAAACTTTTAGGTTTTTATTATGAAATAAAGGATTTAATACAATTATATTTGTTAATATATAAAAATTATTAGTATTATCTTATTAGTGATAAAACTAATTGAATCTTCAATTATTTATAGAATTGTCTTATTAAAATTATCTGCCTTAACCAAGTCCTAAAGCTATCTATTTATATTAAATCTACTAATATAAATAAATAAAATACTAATTGATTATAAATATTAAATGATTAATAATATAAAATAATTAGTAATATAAAAGAAATTTCTAATGACTTTTAGATTTTCTATGTAATTTTTATTTAATTCATTTCTTTTATCTTCGTTATCTAATATTATATAATTAATATAACTTCTAATTATATATATCAGCTGATTTTTTAAATTAATATCTTTCTATTACAATATATTATTTATTTTTCTATTTAATATTTATTTTAATTTATTATTTCTTTCTTTATATTCTATTAATTTCTTTTAATTAATTTATCTTTTTTAAATGCTTTATCATTTTTTAATTTAATTTATCTTTTTTTATAATTTTTTATTTTATTTTATTTTTTTTTAAAGTTTTTTTTTATTTATTTTTCTTAGATCCTTTATTTAATCATTAGATATTTTTTTTAATATTTTAATATATTTATTTTTTATGGTTTCATTTATATAATTTTATTTTATTTATTATATTTTATTTATAAGATTATTAATTATTATTTTATAATTTAATAATAATTATATATTTATATATTAACTAGTTTCTTATAATTCTACCTATTAACTTTAATATTCCAAAAAATGTACTAATACTAGAAATTAAGAAAACTTTTATTAAGTTTAAAATAATCTTAACTAAAAAATTTACACTGGTATTTGCTTTATCTAAACTTTTATGCAATTACAAAGCTAATCAACATTGATTCAATTATTAAGCAAATAGATATCAGAACATTTATATCATCTTGCATAGTATTATATTATTCTTTACTTCTTTTTGAATTAACTAATATAAAAAAATGATTATATTTAATATTTTAAAATCTTATTTATTATTAGTTAATATAATTTTCTTTTTATAAAATAAAATATTATTTTATTAATAATAAATTAATATTAATTAATTTTGTAAATCATTTTTTAATTTTTAAATTTTCTAAAAAATTCTTTTAGATCTTTTTTTTTTAATATTTAATTTTTACTAAATATTTTTATTCTTTTATTATTCTTATTATTTTATTATAATTTATATTTTTTCTTTTATATAATTTAAAATGAACTAAATAAAATTATTTATATTTTAATCACTTTGATATTCTGATATCTGCCTGCTTAATAATTGAGTTAATGCTAATTGGCCTTTATAATTATAAAAATTCTAAATAAAGCAAATATTAGTATAAATTTTTTTAATTAAGATTATTTTGAATTTAATAATGATCTTTATTCCTTAATATATATATTAATTTTCTTTCACTATTTCTTTAATTTTCTTTTAATAATATATTTTACAATAAATATTCTATGATTTTATTATTTAATTTCTCTTTATCTAAATTTTATATAATTATTTTATATATTTATAAGTTGTTTTCATTTTCATTTTTTTGTTTTTTTACACTTTTAATATTTTTTTTATTTTTTTATTTTTCACTTTTGTTTTTTTTTATTTTGTTTTTTACTTTTATTTTTTATTTTTATTTTTATTTTATTTTATTTTTTTTATTATATTAAGATCAGCCTTTTTTTGGATTTTAAGAACCAATTGGTAATTGAATTCCTTCTTCTTAAAATAGATGACCTTCTCTAAAAATATTTTCAGATTTTAATATTTCATGATACTTATATTAAAAAATTTAATTATTATAAAAAATCACAAAACTTTTTTCCATTAGAAAAAATGGATTTTATTTTATTTGCTTCCCCTTCATTTTCTTTTTGACTTAAAAAAAACAAAAAAAAAAATAATAATAATAAAAATTTGCTTTGTTTTATGTAAAATGAAAATGATGAACTCATTAATTGTTACATGATCTTTTACTAAGAATTTCCTCACAGTAAATATTGTAAATGCTCAAAAAAAAGCAAATATTAGAATGTATTTCAAATAATATACATCTGAGAGAATTTCTGATAAGAAATTGTAGAAATTATCCTATTCTAATATAAAAATCTAGGTTATTAAAAAAAATTCATTGAGTATTTTAAACTATACAGCAAGTTCGATATTGTCGCGTACAATTACCACGAGATCATTAAAATAGCTAAAATCTAATCGGAATTTGAATTGGTAGTGCTATAATAGGAAAAAATTCCAGAAAAGCTGAGAGCCAGAATTCATCTGGAAACGTAATTTCCGTGAGCTTTGTACATTTCCTAGGAATGTTGATCAAAACTTGAAACTAACCAACTAAATATAAGGGTGATAACTTCTTTGTGAGCTATGTGTAATTTAAAACGCCATTTTTTGTTGTGACCTTTCACAAATGATGATCTTTACAGACTCCACAAGTTCCTCTAAAAAAGAATAAATTTTGTTATCGTTATAAAAAAATTAGTGTATAATTAAGGAAATATTGTTATGACATATGATATTTTACCAAACAGAATTTCGACATTAATGTCAGGAAATGGAAAATTTAAATGATAGTGTTATATCGGGATCTTAAGTAAAAAATACATTGTTTAACACTTTGATTTTACTTATACTTGGTCGATATGCCAAATCATTGTTTACAATGTATTCAAAAAAATTGCTGATACCTCCAAATTTTTCTATCAAACCATGCAATCCATTTTTTTCTATTTGCTCTATTATATTAATTAAAAAAAGGTTTAACCTATGATCCATGCTATGTATCAAATACTAAAGATGTAGAAATCATAAGAAATTCAAGATATCAATTCCAAGCCTCATCTGAGACTAAGTATAAATTTTACACTCACCATTCTCCTGAAGTTTTCTATTTAAATTCTTACAAAGGCTTTCTTTAAAGGAAAGATCAATTTCACTACTAGACACGGTAATGCCTTTGTGTCCAAGTGATGGTCATGAACAGGCCCATAACACTTCCAAATACGTAAAGATACTTCGTAGAGATACTTTTTCTAAGACTTAATTTTCTTACAATGTGATAATAATATCCTTGAAAATCTAAATCTAATAATATAAAGATCTTTTGATAAGTTGAATCCTTTCCAGAAAAAAAACATTTCCTGGTATGTATATTCTGTCATAATATCGATCATATCAACTGAAGCTGAATAGCATCTAAGCAAGGATCCAAAATTTGATAA